GTTCTTACATAAGTGAATGCCATTATTATAGTTTTCTCTGCCCATACCCCTGCGAGTATTTTAAGAACAGACTGCTTGGGACTTGGGACTTTAACTGCTTAAGAAATACTGTGTCAAGAAATTCATTTCACCTAGGTGTTTCGTACAGCCATCTGCTAAATTAGATTGAAAATACTTGAATCTCTGCCGGGAATAGTACTTTTAATTCATTTACAGAAGCCTAATGATTTCACCAAATATAAAATGTCAGTATTACTGGCAAACTTCATTCATTAAATATGCTTTTCTTAAAGCCTCACCATGTGGCACAATAAGAGCAATATACAATTGGTAATTATGACACTAAGATTGTCATTGTAACATAAAACAGCAGCTCCTAATGAACTAAAATCGCTCTTGTGTTCTCCATCCAAAATTCTATCACCGTGGCCCAATATAGAAATATGAACAGTTGTTCTTTCACTGGCTATAATGTAAAAAAAAAAAGGTTTATGATGAAAGACATTTTATCTAGGTTTATTGTCATGGCATATTCTTATAATTCTAATAATAGTAAATAATAAAGAAGAAAATGTTATTTATTACAGCAGGTTCACTAGATCAGCAGAACTCACAGAGCACTGGTCAAGCTGTCTTTGTAGTCCTTCGGGATCTCCTTGGACAGCCTGCTCTTTCATTAAGAAGTCTTTCACACCATCCATCCACTTCTCAATGACTTTTGAATCAGCCTAAATCGAACACAATAACAAAGGGGGATGTTACTCAGTGACATTCAACCTACTGCATCTCAAGATCTATTGCTACTGGAAGAAAAAGGCAACTTTTCAAAACTTTGATAGCATCATTTTCATTTATTTTATTTCTTTTTTTAGATCCTCCAATGCTGAAAAATAATTATCTTCTTCATTGTTGACTAAAATCCTCATGAGATGATATCTTTGTGATCATATTAAAGCTTTCAAAACACTCTCCAGTGACCCAAGCTATTTTGCTTAATGTGAGCAATATCTATGATTAAAAATTCAAATTAAAGGGGAAAAATGCTTTTCTAATATAATCAGCTAAAAAAAATCTTTTGTTCTCAAATACTTTAGAACAATTTTCTCAAGTTACCTACTCAAAGCAGGAATAAATAAAGAATAGAGTGAAGGGAATACAATAGACCGTTCTTAGTTCAGCTGTGAGGTGCCTTATCTAAGACCCCAGTACAGTCTGCTGCCCAACTCCTTTCTTTCATCCAACATTTACTAAGCACCCACTGTAACCCAGTTACTGCATGTGGTGCTGGGGGAATGAGAAAGGAAACATTTTGCAGAAAGAAAGACACTTGAGAGATGCAGCAACATTGGATCCGGACCTTAAAGACTGTGAACAAGTAGGTCCAAGTTGAGTTCCAGATTTAGGTGAAGCAATGGTCATTTCTTTCCAAGGTCCCTCATTCCATCACTGGTCAGTCTGACTTGTTAACTTCCCTTATATTGAGCTACCTTTGTTTCCTTGTACCTCCCTCAATTATTTGTTTCTCGTTCCTCCCTAGGAATGGAGATAAATTAACTATACTATTAAAAAAAAAAAACCTTCCAATTGGAAGGCAGCCACTGTGTCTTCTTTAGTCTTTTAGTGATTGAACATTCCGAGTTCCTTCCATGATGTCTCTAGGACATGTTACCCAGATCCTGCACTCAACACTCCAATCAACATACTCTGGAAATCACATCTACTTGTTAATGTACTTAAAATACGCCACAGAGAATCAATTATTCTTACCCTTAAAATGTTGGAATGAGTGACAAAGATGGAACCTAACTGGTATTTCACACATGGATATCACATTCAGAAAATGCCATCTAAAATCTTTTCAATTTTATTTTTCTTATTGTAGAGTTGGTTTTTGTTTCCTTTGTGTTTTTTAAATTTGTTTATAGACATATTATTCATCATATTATAGTTAGCTAAAGCTCCAAAATTCTCATAACTATTTTTTCCTATTCCATGTTGTTTGATTGACTTCTGTAACAAATTCAGAACTTGGTATTTATAAATATTAAATTTTGTCTTGTTAACAATCCCAGTGAAATTGACACACTGTAACTGACTATACTTCAATTAAAAAAAAACCTAGTTAATATAACAATAAAAAGCCAACAGAATAATTTGAATTTTTAGTCTCTCCACTTTCATATCAATTCCTCCCAACTTTCTTATTTGCAAATCTGACAGTGAGGTATCCTTTTTGTACTGGGGTTTATTTTGGTTGGGTTTGGGGTTTTTTCTAGGTGAAAAGTAAGGCCAATTACAATGCCTACCTGAGCATTTCCCATGAGGACACCATCTCATACATTAACCAACAAACTTTTGGCTCAGTTTTAAAAACATGGGAATCAATATAATACTATCATCTAAGAAGCTTTCCACTTTTCTTATAAGAGATTTTCTCAAATACCTTACTGAAATCAAGACTTACCCAAAATGATAGTCTGTGAGCTTTATTTGAGCCAAATGAGCACACATAAAATGTGAGACTATAAACCTGTATATCTAATAATCTAGTATCCCTCCTCCAAGAAATAAATAAAAAGCAGCAGTGCTTAAAGGAAATGAGTCTGGGCAAGGCTATTAGTGACCCATGCTGACTCCTGGTGACCACCACATTCTTTCCTCCGCACATGAAAGAACTCTGCTTGGTCATTTATCTACAGCTTTGCCAGGAACTGACATCAAGCTTACTTCCAGTCTTTAGCTTCTAGAACATAATGTTCCCCCTAACTTAGAACATTCATCCATCTCCATTTTTCTGGTCATTTCCTTTCAAACTGCATATGCGACCTTGAGATCCCGGGTGAAATACTAGGGATGTAGATTCAGGCGTCGGAAAGATTGCGTAGTTTTTCCATCTAACTCATAATTCAGGCTCTAATGCACTCTCAGGAATGACCGTTCTACAATTTCTAGTTTACAGGGTCGTTCTCTGACGAAGATGGGAAACGAAGTGCTTCTGTGGCCAGGCCTTTCTGTCTCCTCCATTCATGTTGTGCCACTCTGCGCAAGCACTTCCTCTCTCCCCTTATTCCAAGCGCAGCTCTGAAAGCCCTTTCAGCCGCCCTGTGCCTTTTCCTCAGGCTTCCCTTCCCTCCGTGCCTTAGCCTGTCGGTCACTATTCTCGCACACCTACACTGCTCTGACTTATTTCCTACTGGTGACATATCTCTTCTGAGTTTGCCCCCACATTCTCAGATCTTATCAGGGAAGACTGCTCAGGAAGACAAGATCAGGGAAGGGTTGTTGAGTGGGATGTGCAAAAAGGTACACGTGCTAAAAGAAAGGAGGGCTACATCTACAGGGTTCACAAAGGGCCTTTTTTAACTGTCCATTTAACTTGTTACCACTTCTTGCTCTGTTAATCTCCCAGCTGAACTTCTTAAGCATACAAGGCAGCGTTACTGCTGTGTAACCGAACAATTCATTAAACCTTGTTTGGAACAAGGAAAACTGATAGTCTCCTGGGCCAAGGATTTTTGAAATTCATGGAAGCATTTTATTCCAAGGAGGTTTCAACCACAATCAGCCTTGACTGAAGCCAGCAGCCTCAACGATCCCCGTTGCTGGCACAGGACAGGAAGTTTTAAGACGTAAACCCCCTTCCTCCCTCCCTCTCTCAGACACACGCAGCAAGTCACACACACCTGTTCGTTGTCTTACAGTTGAATGTGAGGGGAAAAAATGGAAAGAAAGCAGCAGACACAGATGAGCCGTGCAGACCAAAAGATCTTATGGATAATAACAAAGGAAACAGTGAGGAGCCGGAAAAGCCGTTTTCACTCCTAGAAATCCCGCCGGTCGTCCTGAGCATGCTGAGCTCTGAGACTGGCAGTCTGGCCCCAGGACAAGGCAGACTAAGGTCTGAATACCTAGCTCAGCACCTTACCAGCCATGGGGCCTTGAGAAACTCATTTCTAAATTTTTCTTCTTGAAGTTTCTGTAGCTCATCTATAAAATGTGAATAACAACAACTATCTTGTCTTGATTGTTCTGAAAAACAGAGATAGTTTGGACAGGGCCTGGAACAGAGCAGGTATGCAGTAAATGACAGCTATTATTCTCAAGATCTGCAAAATCAAGCACTTTATTACCAAGATTAACTCCATAAAAGCGTTATCACTTCAAGTCCTGGTGTCTCTTCCCAACAGACACTTCACAGGAATGAGTAGTCAGGGTGAGGTCATATTTGCATAAGCGTCAGTTTAATGTGCTTAACTGCTGCCAACGTTAATGCTTGTTCCATTATATAACTGTTCAAAAGTGACTGTATGAAAGAGCTACTGCTTCTGGTACTTCTGATTAGACCGGGCTGAATCCAGCTCAGCAGAAGGAAGCCAAGTACACGAGGAAAGGCCCAAACTTTAGAAATGCCTGATACCAGCAAGTTCACACGGCCTCCCTACCCAGGGGCTCCACCGTGTGGGAAAGGGGAAGAGGTCACTAAGACCAACACTAACAACCGCTCAGTGCAGGTAAATGCGGGAGACGAGAGCCCTGCTCTGCCCTCTAGCAACTCCTCTTTCCCTAGAAGGAAAATACTCTCCACCCACGTGCAGCAGATGTCTCCTGTGCTTTTAAAAAACGCCAGAAGTCTGCTCATCTTCAAGTCAATCGTACAGCAAAGAGCTCACAAGGAAAATGAAAGAGCTCACATGAAAAGTGTTTCTCTGTCCATTTAAAAATCACTCAGCTGATGCACTTATGAATTTCCAAGGTAAAACAATGAGCCATTTTTCACCATCTTCATTCACTTGCAGAATGAATATAGGGATAGACAGATACTAGACACATATAGAGATGTTTAAATTGGGTAATTCTAATGTTCTATCTTCTTTGGGGGACTTCAGTTCTTTCAAGCAATATGAAAAAAAATTTTAAGTTGTAAATTTCTAAAATAAGTGTCTTATTATTTCACAAGCAAAAACAAACTGTAAGTAGGAACCGTTTCTCATTCCTATTTATATACTCAAAAATTCTCAAAGAAATGTAAAATGACTAATATGGGAGTTCTGAAAACCAAAGTACCAAACATGCTAGTCTGGAGGGGTCAAAATGCCCTATTGACCATCACTGCTCAAAAGCACTGATTTGTAAGCACTTTGGATGGGCAACACCTGCTGCTGGGTCACAGAAAAACAATGTGAGGTCGTTAAAACAACTCCTTTAGCCCTATAATCCCATCTCCCAGCCTGCAGCCCCTGAGCCAGGGATGGAGGAAATCTGAAGCCTGGTAACTTCGGATAAAGACAACAAGATTCCACGGTACACAACTACCTCCCAAGACTTTATTTACAGCTAAATTCTTGGAATTTTATTTCGCTTCTCCCCCATCTGTTGGAATGTCCACAGCTTTTAAGCAGCCAATATCTAACCCAAGACATAGGCAAGAAGAATCGTGAAACCAGAATTAAAACAGTCATTTAAAGCAGGAGATTTCTATTTTGTTGGTTTCATAATATTCCTTAACCTCAAAACACTCTTTAAAAAGTGTTCCCTCATGTAGTAAGGAAGACCAGCAATGATACTGCTACTACATTTATTTATCTGAAACTAGTAAAGTTATTAAATTTAAGGTTTAGAAAGCACCAAAATTACCTTTAGTAAAGTAAAATGTATTCAAAATGAGACCAAAGAAATCCTCACGAGATCATTATATCAGTTCTGTGTTACTCAGACAGAGTTAAATCAG